TATGAGATTTCTTTTGGATCAGTCCTCCAATTTTTCCAGGTCATTCTGAATCCTAGCCCAACCCTCCAGTGTATCTACTACTCTCCCCAGCTTGGTGTCATCTGCAAACTTGCTGAAGATACACTCTATGCCATCTTCCAGGTTGCTGATAAAGCCATTGAATAAAATCAGCCCCAGTACTGATCTCTGGGCCATTCCACTTGACACCGGCTACCAACTAGACATCAAGCCATTGATTACTGCCCTCTGAGCCCAATGCTCCCAGTTTTTTATCCACCTAACAGTCCATTCGTCCAGGGAGTCTGTACTTCCTTAGCTTCCCTGTGAGAATGTTGTGGGAGACCACATCAAAAGCCTTGCTAAAATCAAAGTATACCACATCCACTGGTCTCCCTGCACCCACAAAACCAGTCATCTCATCACAGAAGACAGTCATGTTGTTCTGACTTGCCCTTGGTGAATCCATGCTGACTGTTCCAAATCACCTTCTTCTCCAAGTGCTTAGAAATTGATTCCTTGAGGATCTGCTCCATGATTTTTCCAGGGACTCAGGTAAGGCTGACTAGTTTGTAGTTCCCTGGAACTCCCCCTTTTTACCTTTCTGTGTTTGCCCTTTTCCAATCATTCAGGACTGCTCCTGATCACCATGAGTTTTCAAAGATGATGGACAGTGGCTCTGCAGTCAGATTAGCCAGCTCCTGTAGCACCCTCAGGTGCATCCCATCTGGTCCCATACTTCCATCTTTTCCAAATCATCCCTAACTTTTTCTTTCACCCCTGTTTGCTGCTCACCTCCTCCCAAAACTGTGCCACCCATTGCAGTAGTCTGGGATCTGACATTGCCTGTGAAGACTGAGGTGAAAAAGGCACTGAGTACTTCAGACTTTTTCTGCACCCTGTCACAAGGTCGCTTCCCCATTCAGTAGAGGACCGACACTTTCCCTGATCCTCCTCTTGCTACTGATATACTTATAGAAACTCTTCTTGTTACCCTTCACATCCCTGGCTAGCTTCAACTCCAGTTGCATTTTGGTCTTCCTGACTTTATCCCTGCATGCCCAAACAGTGCTGTTATACTCCTCCCTAGTTGTTTCTCCAAGTTTCCACTTCTTATAGACTTCCTTTTTTTGTGATTTAGTTTACTGAAGAGTTTCCTGCTAAGCCAAGCTGGTCTTCTGCCATGCTTGCTAGTCTTCATGCACAATGGGATGGTTTGTTCCTGAACTCTAAGTAAGGCTTCTTTAAAGTATAGCCATCTCTTCTGGACTCCTTTTCCCCTCAGACTGACTTCCCAAGAGGATCCTGCCCCATTAGTTTCCCGAGCAAATCAAAGCCTCCTTTTCTGAAGACCAGGGTCCTTACTCTGCTGCTCTCTATCCTTCCTTTCCTCAGGACCCTGAACTCAATCATCTTGTGGTCACTGCTGCCCAAGTTGCCATCCACTACTACATTCCCCACTAATTCTTCACTGTTTGTGAGCAGGAAGTCAAAAAGAGCACAGCTTCTAGTTGGTGTCTCCAATACTTACACCAGGAAGTTGTCCCAACACTTTCCAAAATCTTCCTAGGTTGCCTGCACACTGCTGTATTGCCCTCCCAGCAGATGTCAGGGTCATAGAAGGCCCCCGTGAGAACCAGGGCTTGTAATCTGGAAACTTCCACTAGGTGCTTGAAGAAAGCCTCATCCACCACTTCCTTCTGGTCTCATGGCCTATAGCAGACCCACACCACAACATCACCTTCATCGCTCTCCCCTCTGGCCCTAACCCATAGACTTTTGGCAGGCCTATATCCAGTTTCATACTGGAGCTCTGAGCAATCATATGGCTCTTTTACATAAGTGCAACTCCTCCTCCTCTTCTCCCCTGCCTGTCCTTTCTGAACAGTTTGTACCCATCCATGACAGTGCTCCAGTCATGCTAGCTGTCCCACCAAGTCTCTGTTATTGCAATCATGTCCTAGTTTCATGACTGTGCAAGGACTTCCAATTCTTCCTTCTTGTTTCCTAAGTTCTGTGTACTCATGTAAAAACACCTAAGGTAACTGGTCAATTGTCCTGATTCTTCAGAAAGTATGAGAACACATCCCATATTGTCCTACTTGCTCTTCCTTCAGCTCAACCACTTACCTCAGGGCTTTGGTCTCCATCCTGTGGTGAATCTAGTTTAAAGCCCTCCTTACCGGGCTAGCAAGCCTATCTACAAAGATGTTCTTCCCTCTGTTCATCAGGTTGATCCCATCTTTTTCCAGCAATCCTTCTTCTTGGAACATCATCCCATGGTCAATGAAGCCAAAATCTTGCTTGCGATACCACCTGTACAGCCAGGTATTGATCTGCAGGATGCAGCCACTCCTGCTTGGCCTTTTCCCTTGACCAGAAGGATTAAAGGGAACATGACCTGAGCCCAAGTCCCCTTCACTCTTGCACCCAGAGCCCTGTAGTCACTTTTGATCTGCTCAGGACCTTCCCTGGCAGTATCGTTGATGCCCACATGGGTGAGCAGCATGGGGTAGTAGTCAAAGGGCCAGATCAGTCTCAGTAGTCACTCCATGCTATCTTAGATCTGGGCTCCAGACAAGCAGCAGACTTCCTAAAACAACAGGTCAGATTGGCAGATGGCTCCCTCTGTCCCCTGGAGATGGGAGTCTCCAACCACCACTACCACCTGTTGCTTCTTCTTGGTGGTGGTTGTCTCAATCCTTCCCACCTTGGTGTGGCCTGGCCTCTCCTCCTCCACCAATGCAACATGCTCCTCCCTCTCTGTTGCTAGGGCTGCATATCTGTTCTCCAGACAAACTGATGCAGGTGGAGATGAAAATTTCTGCTTGCTTCCAACTTCCACCCTCTTGGGAGTCCATGTCCTCTCCCTTCTCTAGCACTGCCTCTGGCAGTTCTTCCTCCACAATCCCACAGGTCTCCTTCAGCCTTGAATCGATGAACTCCTCATGGTGGAGGTTGCTTTGGAGCCTCACCACCTCTTCCTGTAGCTCTCTTGCCTGTTCCCTGAGAGGTACCACCAGGAGGCACCACTCACACTGCAGGTGGTCCCCGACCTGGCATCACTGGAAGGAACCTGCAAGCCATACTTGCTACAGCACCAAACCTGGACCTGGGTGGAAGCCTCAATGATGAGTGGCCCTGCCTGGACAGAACAGAAACCTCACAGGTGCAAGCAGAGGCAGTGGCTGGGGCAGGGGGGCTGGGCCTGGCTCCAGCCATTTCCCTGGGTTTCTTAATCTGCCTTCTCTCTATTACTGTCCTTCTTCCAAGCACCCTGCTGACTCTGCCATCTCTCATAGCAGGGGTCCTGGTTTTACCCTAGCCATGGAAAAAGCCGAAGACCAATTCCTCCTTCTCCCCTCCCTCCACCCCACTACCTTAGTGACAATGCCTAAAATATGTTGAATCCAGCCCCACTCTCCATCAATACTGTTCCATTTGCTAAGGAAAATCCTCCAGAAACTTTCCTCCAGCCAGGGAAATCTGGAATTTCCCTAGTTATGGCCCATTTCCCTGAAATATTTTTGTTATTGTAAGGCTGATGTTTCCCTTTGCATGCAGATCACTACTACACTTACTGTCATGTGTCTGAGGGGGGCAATTGCTCCTGCCCTTTTGAAACAATTGACATGTGATACTCAATAGTTTATCTTTTGCCCTGTCCATTAGGCCTGCATACTACAGTTTTTTCTGACATGTAAATAGCTATTAACTAGAGATCTGTCTATAACCTTTTGCTTAAATTATGACACAAAATTGCATAGATACATACACATAGAATAACAAGTTCTGTGCAGCGATAAAAGTGATACAAATAAATACAGCTTATCATTAGCTTTGGAAAAAGAGAAAACATAAATCTAACTCAGGACAAATATCTCTGCATGAAGCGCTCTGCATCCCATTATTGTTCCTGTTTTTTGGTGTGGATCCATGACAATTAGGCATGAAAAACAAATGTGAATACAGACTGGGCTGGTAGCAGTGGTGACATAATAGATTCCTCTTGTTCCTTTGAGTCAGTACTATACCATTCCCCATGATACTGTTTGGGTACATTGTGCTGTAGTATGTAAATCTGTATCCCTTATTATTCATGGTTATTATAGATGGCCATGACAGAAGCATAACTGCTGTTAACACATAGTTAAATTACAACTTGGTTAATTATATTCTGGTTGCAGTACATTCAGTGGGAAAAGATCCAGTCCTTCACTTTTCTGTCCAGGCACAAAGGTTGTACACCAACGGGGGAGAATAGTAGGTCCTACATTCTACCCTAGCTATGGCTTCATTTCGGGATTGAATGAGTAATCTTTGCATATCTCTAACTAAATGTTTAAAATTGGATGTAAATCCTCAGTACCTCAATTCAAGTGAATAGAGCTTTGCATCAGTATACATCATAATATGTCATCCTGTGAAACTGTGGGGGCCAAATTAAACCTTAGTATAAATAGATTGAATTTATACTTGAACTGGGAGCTACAGCTCAGGGCGTGAAGAAGCACATATTGTGCCATTCTCCATATAACAGAACAAGATGCTGCTGCTTACATTTTAATTGAAAGCCATGATGAAATCCCTATGAAGTTTGATAGGAGCCGATCTAAGCCAATGTTCAACTTTTAATTATAGTTTTAACTTAATTTTTGTGAATTTCATTGTCATCAGATTGTTGAGTTCTCATTTTTACACTGTTTAAGTGTAATCCATTGTCTTTTAAATGCAGCTGTTCTAACTCCAGATGAATTATATAAAAATAAAGGAAAAGTTTAATAAGGATTTACTGATATTTTTCATCCTATCGCTAAGAGGATCAAGATATAAATTTCATTTAGATTATTACCAAATGTCAATTGTATTATTTACTGATATACTAGGATTCATAAGAAAATGTCCTGTTATATTTTATATGACTTTATTATACTGGTTATGAGCTAGTGTTTGTGCCATGCCTAACACACTTTCCCTA